GTATCAGGCTGGCAAGGCAGACTTGGTACCAAGATATGCAATTTGACTAAGTCTGTATACCAAGCCAGCAAGACAGACAATAGGGTACCAAGCCGAGTACCAACTAAGAAAGTCGTACAGATTCTAAGTCTGGATATCAAGCTGACAAGACAGACTTGATATCAAGTTACCAAATATCTCAAAAACTAAGTATAAATATCAAACTATCAATGTACCAACCCAATGAGAAGGTGACAAGGTGGCTAGTTGAGGTGGCCATCCGACTGGTTACCAAACCATGATGGACTGTCACTATATTATCAAGACTAAGTATGAAATCTTGGGGATAGAGGGCTAGTCGGCCAAGATAGCGAGTTAAAAGGGTATCAATTTGATACGAACTTGGTGTAGAGCCCTTAGGTCCATATGAAGACTAAGTTGCCAAGACGAGCTTGGTGGCCCCCTAACAGGGTACCAAGCCGGTAGAGAGGCAAGGTATCAACTTTATAAGATTCTAAAAACTAAGTATGAAGACCAAGCTATCAGGGCTGGCTTTGGTAGCAAGGGGTATCAAGACAGAGAGACGACAAGGTGGCAAGCCGCAATGTATCAAGCCGATGGGACGGGCTTGGTAGAAACTAGCAAGTTGACGAGGAGGACTTGGGGGAAAGTCAGCTAAGTGACAAACTAATAAGATGAAACCAAGCCCTCAAAGACTAAGTATGGAGTCTTGGGGGATAAAGGGGTTAGATTCCCATCCCATTAGACAAAATCATGTAAAGGTGACAAGATGGAGAGTGGTACCAAGATGAGAGTAACATAGAGACTAAGTATGAGGTCTCTAGGGCTATCAAGGTGTCGTGGTGGTAAGAAGCAACGTGATGGAAGCAAGGCAAGTAGGCCTCAATCCCATCTATTTAGGACAAAGTGACAAGCCACAACACCAACACGACCCAGCGTCGAGGCCATCTAGTACCAACTAGTCAACAAGGTGGGATAAGCCCCCCCCCCCCCCTCCCTCCTCCTAAGGTGATGGAAGTCAACACCAAAGCGACAGTTACCCATGGGTCACCAAGGCGACGACAATTTGTACCGAAGGCGGTTGGAGCAAAAGACTCGTTAGCGGTTACTAATGCAGTTACACCCGGTAGCTATAAATAGAAGAAATGAAGACGGGGAAAAAGGTTCCACAACCAAATATTTGACACCATATTTCAAACTTTATAATTTCTCTGCATTGTAGCCATAGCTGTATCTTTTAGTTTTTGGAGCTCTCATGAAACATCCATTTGAGTAGAGTAATTTAACTTAATTTTTCCTAAGTCATAAAAAAAACACCCTTGTTGGAACTTTGTTTGAAGAGGTGCGAACCGTGTATTAATCATTGTTCTAGAAAGCAAAGGTGCATGGATTGAAATCAAACAGTAAAATTTCATCTCCAATCACTAATTTCATAGTCTCATATTTCCTTCCTCCCTCAATTCCCAGACCCCTTCTTCCCCCTACTTTCTTCTCAAATCTCTCCCCCAAATTCCATTCCTTGGTCAATATCACCTACAACTATGATGGAGCTGGTGACCATGATTTCCTCATCACAAAAATTGGCCAATATGAGTTTTGTGGGTCTCAGTCTTTGCAGTGCAAACTTAACTCTGAGAGGCCTAGACACCCTTGGATTAGATAACATCCCACTAGCCTTCTTAATATGTGTTACGTTACAAACAAACCCCATAGACAGTAAATCCTAATAGCATTGGGATTTTCAAAGGTTCTCATTGGAGCAGTAAAAGAAATTCATCGTCTTGGATAAGGACTTGTCTGCCCCCCATGTGAGCATCATGAATACCTTAATTCGAAGTCTTGTTGGAATGCAACCAAAAACCCTTTGCGTCAATGGTCAAACTGCAAGAGAAGAGATCCACTTTTAAGTTATTATTATAATATAGTTTTCCTCCATCACTTTGTTTTCTTTAATGCGGCTGTTTTTGTGGGCATAATAACGTAGAAGAAGGTGGGGAGAATTGTTATACACGATATATATGCAGAGTATGGGTTAGCCAACAGAACAGCTCAATACCACATGGATTCTTGGAAATGGTAAGTAGATTAGTATTAACTAGTATTTAATGATAATGAATCCAATTGCTGATCTGTTGTCACCCTTTACTAATTCTGGGAAATGTTACATTGATGCCGTTACTAATTATGAGTGGCATTTTGTCAATACTGTTTCAATGCAGATCGGGAAATTGGAGGATTTGGTAAAGCAATAAAATGAAAACCACGACATACGATTTACGTGGTTCACTAACACGATATGTGTTAGCTACGTCCACGTAGCCAGATAATCCGATTCAAGTCACATCAACAACATTTTTTTGTCGTCTTAATTTTACTTGATGCTATCAAATTCAAATTTCCACAATTTACTATTTGAAAGAAAATATTTTGGTGGATATCAGTAGGATTATAAGTCTGAATCGCCTAATCTCATATATTTATAAAAATCAAAATAGTATCATGTATATATGTCGAGGTCCGTTGTTATATAGAAAAAGTTCAGGTGTATGTCTTTTCCTATAATAAAATAGACTTCCTAGAATACAATTTCATTCTAACCATCACACGGGGAAAAAATCACTCGGAAGTCTTTTCCCAACTCATAAAATGGACTTCTAAAATACAATTTCACTCTATCCATCATTGAAACTCGACATTGTTAGATTGTATAATTAGTTAATTACGCAATCTCTACCATTGAATGTACACTGTGATTAATTCTGCTTTTAACCTCTACATATATTGTATGTAATATCTGAGATCTTGAAACTCACATGGCTATTTGGTCCGGCTTTTTGAGTTTACTCGAAACCGGGTCGTATAACTCGGACCGGGACTGGGATCGGATCGAAATCAGATAACAAACAATCCAATCTAATCTTCAGGCTTAGATTTAAGGTAAAAACCCGTTTGGGATCGGATGAAAAATTGGATAAATACTGGATAAGAGAGCCCAACACTCAAACTTAACCAACTCCTCACTTTTTGAGGTCTCAGGCCACTCAAATTTTCACAAGTTTAATCTAAAATCAAGACCGAATTGGGACCGGACCGGGTCAAAACCGTACTAGATGAAAACCGGACTGTATCCAATCCAATCTTTGATCCTTATATTTCCAAAAAGACCAGACCGAACTGGATCAATTCGGGCCAATTTAACTGGACCGGACCATATAGCCACCCTACTACCCATTATCATGCTAGTAGGCTTGTCTGAGATGTTAGAGTAAGATTCTATTCCTAAAAATAGATGGGGATCTAGGATTGGAGAAAAGTAGGAAATTATGGGGAACACCCTTCCAATCGAAGTGCTTTCAGTGGGACTCATATGGTCAAGAGGGAAAAAAGGGACTTATATATATTTAGTGTTCTCAGTTGCTCACATAATTGAGAGGCTGTTACGGGAATAAATTTTTTTTAAAAAAAGGACTAGACTAATACTGCATCGTGATCATGCCCCAAACCGGCAGGAATTAAGGGTCAATATGGCCTTATCTTGTTTGTCAAGGGATCGTTTCCATTTTCCAGGTTAATACCCCAACTATTTGTTTCTGTCTCTAGTTAGACATTTACAACTTTGGCAATTAAGTGACTCATTGGTTGTAGGTTTGTTAAACTGAATAAGTCGGGGGGGGGGGGGGGGGGGGGGGGGATAAGTAATCTTCTGAAGTGGATTCTCATTTCAAGTGAGGGATTTCAGAAGTTATTCAGAACCCATCATAGTCAGAAATTTGAACGTTTTATTATTAAGTTTTTTGTCTTGTACTGTTTGATTTTGTATAATCCTTATCGAGAGCACGGTTTCTTATTCAACCATGCCCTAATTTTTTTTTAAGAGAGTCATAATGACGAGAAGCACAAAATCTACATTATGGTATTCTATGATTAGTAGAATTTAATTGTGAGATGCACTATCTTTTTACAGGGAAGTGTTGGTTGATGAGATGGAATACATGTTCAGAGTGAAAATTTTACGGAATTTGTAGAATGGTGATAATATGTATAGTTTAGATAATAATTCTAATCTAATGCAAAATTTGAAAAATTTATAATTGTATGGACTTCCATGGTGTGCTCGTGATGAACGAAGGCGTTGTTATGCTTTGTCAATTCATGTCTCGTTGAACTTGTTCTGGCTAAAAATGGACAGTTTTTTGTCTTAAAGATTGTATCGATGCGCAACGCTTGGGGTCTTGCTACTACATTTAACCATGTACGTTGGACTCCAAATCAGAAATTGCTCATCTTGTGACAAAAATGGTCTTCCGGAGTCTTTTTATTACTGCAATTGGTTTCCCGATATTAGCTAATTATAATGAACTCTTTGTTCCCCTGTCCATAAAATAACTTACATTTGATAAGAAATGAAAATTAGAGTCATATACTCATACTAGGTTGATGGATTTTACCTATTTATAATTTGTGCAGTAGTAATATTTGTGCCTACACTTCGTTTTTTGTTAAGAAAGACTTCAACTTGCACTTGTTCTAGCTATTTTTCTAACTTTAACCTTTGTAGAGCTAAAATTTACATAAAACAAACAAGTAGACATACTACATACTAATGAAAACCTGACTTAAACAATAATCAGAGGGTTAAGGTCAATAATGTCAGGCGGATTTAACTTTTTGACAGCAACTTTACCCCGTGACCACACTTTATTTAAAAATCTTTCTTAATCCTAACCCTAATCCTGGACTAGATCACATGACGAATCAAAAGTAACATGAAAATGTCTACCAAACACAAAACACTTGTTAAAAAAAATTTGGACTAAAAAAAAGTAGCATATTCCCCAGATGAATACAGACATCTCCATGTGAAATCAGGAATTCTTTACTATACATGGGAAGGAGGAAGAAACAGCTTCTTAGGAAATATGAAAAATGTCAGTTAATGAAGAAGAAGACTACTACTACCTTGCTCCACTATATAAAAAGGGCTTAGTGTAGCAATCATGCTTAAACATGTTTCTACCAACAAACCACACAAACACCACAATGGACCCAAGGATCTCCTTCTCCAATGACTTTGCAGACAGCACACAACAGCAGCACAAACCCATGTACGAGAGCAACTACAGAGAAGCCCCTGTGTCGTCGGATTTCGAATTCTCGGTCAAAGACTTCGCCTTGATACCGGCTGATGAGATCTTCTTCAAGGGTGTGATTGTGCCATTGAAGGAGGAGGAGGATCATCACCAAGGGAGGAGGATGATGACATTGAGGGAAGAGTTGATGGTTGATGTTGATCACCACCACCATGGCCAGTTGCCAAGGGTGCCTAAGATTTCCTCAGGTTGGTGGAAGGAGAAGTTGGGGTTGAAGAGGGGTGGCCACAACACTAACAATGTTGTTGTTGGTGTGGTGGGCAAAAGAGGTGAAAGGAATGGTGATGGGATTTTGGAGAGGATTGAAGAGAAGAGGGCTTCTTCTTTTGTTCATGGAGAGAGGCTAAGTTTAGGTCAGGACCACAACTCCCAACATAATTAACCCTTATTATGACCTGAATTTCATTTATGCTCTTAGTCTCTGATGATTGTTGTTTCTGTACTTTTTTGGCTGCAGGGAGTGCTAACTGAAGGAGAGGTGGTGAAGTTTGTTTCAGAGAAATTATGAGGGATGATTTGAGGTGCAAATATGAGGGATTTGGGGGGAAAGGGCAGAAAGAATTATCATCATGTCTCTTAACTCATGAGAAATTGGCAAGGCAAAAAGTTGGAATTTTGGTTCTAATTCTGACAATTCTCCTCTTCTTCTTCTTCTTCTTCTTCTTCTTCTTCTTCTTCTTCTTCTTCTTCTAGTTGGAATTTTGGTTCTAATTCTGACAATTCTCCTCCTCCTCCTCTTCTTCTTCTTCTTCTTCTTCTTCTTCTTCTTCTTCTTTTGTAACATTGTTCTGTGCCTTTGTTCCTTAGATGAAGCTATGTTATGTACAAAGAAAAGGTTTGATCAGTAAAATTGGGGGGTGAATTTGGTAGCCCTGTTGTTTCTTTGATCCATCTGACAATTTGGTGTCTTAGATTTGGTTTACACATGGAATATGGATGCCATCTTGCCTGTTCCAGTCATAACCTGGCCTTGGAATAATCTTATTAATGATATTATGAAGTGAAGTGAGTGGCCAACAAAACCCTAATACTTTATTCCCCCCTTGCTAGGCTCTTTTATTTCCTTAGATACTAACCATAGAATCAATAAACCAAATATTGCTTGCTTGTGTGGCACTCAAAGGAAAATTTCCAACTTTCTCGAAAGGGTTAAAACAAATTCAACTCTTAAGAGAAACTCCAGTGTTGAGTACATACAGCTTTTTTTTTTTTTTTTTTCCGATGAGAACATCCTTGAATCGAAGAAAGAAGCCTACCCTTTTCCCAAGTGCTCGAACACCAAGTTCAGTCAAAGTATCTGTAGTCTCTTTCATGTCTTGAAATGCAGTCACCACCACATGAATAACATAAACCAAGCAAACAATGTGCTTGGTTGACTGTGTAATTGTTGTAAGCTCATGGAACCTTGGCCCTTGGTATATATGCTTAATGAACTTTCTGGGTAAAAACAAAAATCCAGTCAAACTTCTACTTGAAGTAAAAAAAGAGAAGGAACCCAATTTTCCCTTTAGTTTCAGTCTCATTCTCAGAATATGCCCATATTTCACACTGTTACCAATCAAACACACAGCTTAATAAGCTTCCCTACAGTTTTATGTACAATAAACAGACACATCTTTCCCATTTACATTGTGATTCCTAAAGAATCAAGGCTTGATTCCTACACTGTGACAACCAAAACCAAGTATTCAAAATAATTACATTCAATGGTTAACTGGATATAAAGGTAACAAGCTGCGAATTTATCTACAAAAAGGATGTACAAGAGTTGCTATGTTGCCGCCAAAAGAATGTGCAGGTTGATGGTTTATCTACAACTGTACACCTGAAACCGGGCCGCAAGACACATCTTAGTGAGTTATCATTTGGCCTTCAATCGCTGTTGCGTGTCTGAGTTGATCCTAGATATTTCTCCATTGATTCTTTCTTGTGCTCGGGGTCGAGGCTGCAGTAAATCTGAGTGAGTTAAATTACTCAGAGACTTTCAACAAACAGATTTCCCAAGTGTGGGTGCTGAGCTCTCACCTATTTCTAAGGCCGAGAAGAGCACACTGTGCAGCACTTGCACAAGCAGAGACTGGAGCCATATTGGTATTTTTTTCAACGGCGTTCGAACTAATGCAGAAGCCGATTTTCCCCAGGCCATCACTTAGGCTTGCATATGCCTGTCAATAACATTAGGAAGATCAGAACCTTTGTAGCTGTAACGAGGATAGCCTTCTTCTGTATTGAACTGGAGAAACTCTTACTACTAAAACCCTCACCTGTTGCATTCCTTCCTGGGCACCTTTTGGCTGATTGCTTGTTACGTTTGATTTCTTTTTTACCCTGTGTACGTGGTGGAGGAAGACGACGATGATACTTGATGAGTAAGGAACAGACGTCAGGATGTACTCGGCTTGGTGTAAGATATCATGGGCTCCTGCTGCCAAATGCACTCCAAGCCCAACTGTTGAGTAATATGTTTGTATGGGCTTCGGCCCACCTTCCCTAGCCACGAGTGTATTGTTGAGAGTGGCCTAGGGTTTGCCAAGTAGTCTAGGGTTTGTGAGCCTAGATGTTTTTTTTTTTACAATATATATATATATGGTGACTTCTACGGTACCCCGGGTGAAATTCGGGGTACCGCATACCTTGAGTATGAAAACGCTATCTAGACCTCGAATTAACAGGATTTTTGGGCATGATACTATACCTTAACCCTTCATGAGTGAACCCTAGGTCCTAATTATCTAAATCATAAACTATAAACCCTAAAGATGGTGCATTGATTTTTTTGCCTATATTTGGACGAATCATAACCGTCGATTATTGTTTCTAATTAAATTGATCTTGGGGTATAAGATTTAGATAATTAAGACCTAGATTTTGATCTTTAAGGATTAGAGTATAGTATCATGTCCGGAAGATCAGTTAATTCAAGTTCTGAATAGCGTTTTCTTACTCAAGGTATGCGGTACCCCGGATTTCACTCTGGGTACCTTAGAAGGCACCATATATAAATATATATATTTATGATTTAGATAATTACGACCTAGGGTTCACTCATTAAGGGTTAGGGTATAGTATCATGCCCAAAAATCATGCTAATTCGAGATCTAGATAGCGTTTTCATACTCAAGGTATGCGGTACCCCGGATTTCACCCGGGGTACCGTAGAAGGCACCACATATATATATATATATATGGTGGTGTATTCGGTGCACCCACTTTTTCGGGTGCACTCAGTGCACCCGCCTCATAATTGTCATTCTGATCATGCGATTCATGTCAAAACGGTATCAATTGTTGCTTATGATATTATGAACAAGAAGCACATGAATTTGAAAAAAATTCATTCAAAATTTACTTTAATTCGGAGGATTTAGGATTTAATGATTTAGGGTTAGGGTTTAGGTTTACAATTTGGGATTTTGGGTTGGGATTCAAAATTGAAGGTTAAGGGGTTAGGGTAATGGATTGATTTGTTATGATTCTATGTCATATCATCATATTATATTGAGAGTAGTAATTAAAGTTCAAAATTTATGTATTATGGACGCTTTTAGTGCACCCAAAAAAGTGAGTGCACCGAAGTTATGGATAGCGGTTTCTTACTCAAGGTCTGCGGTACCCCGGGTTTCACCCTGGGTACCGTAGAACTATATATATATATATATATATATATATATATATATATTGATCATAAACAAAAGATATACATCCTGGAATTCAGCCAGGCCTGGAAATAAAAAAATAAAAACGACACGTAGTCGGGTACAAAGAAAGGGCCTTTCTAGCCACCAAATGGGCTACCCTATTACTACGCCGACCTACAAATCGAATACTCAACCCAGGATGGAGGGCAAACAGTTGCACCGCCTCATGAAGAACAACTCCTATCCTACTATCCTCAACCTCAGCTTGCCGAACTTTATCTATAATAACCTTCGCATCCCCTTCAAAGCAAGCTACACCGAACCCCTGTGACACACACCAATGCATTGCCTCCCGAAGCGCAAGGACCTCTATAACTACAGGGTCATCAATAACCGGGAACTAGACCCATTTAGACATAAGGACCCCATCACCTGAATTTATCACGACCATGCCACCCGCAGAATGGGAGCCTGCCCTCGTCGCCCCATCCCACCAAAAAACAACCCCAAAATCCTCATGGGGGTACGGTAGGTGCTGCTATACAGCAGCAGCAACACGAGGAGATGGATCCACTAGCAGGCGGGCCCATTTATCACATTGCTGATGAAGCTGGCGCATCAGAGCCAAGAACCCAAACTTCTTCCTCTCAAAGACAACCCAATTACGGGAATTCCAGATCCGCCAGAGGGTAACAATAACGGCCATGAACAAAGAAGGTTGATGAATAAGGGACATTAGTCCCTTCAAAAAAAAGGGGAAGGTATGCCTTGGCAACCCCTCACCCAGGTACTCCAACCCGGAATAATCCCAAATAGCTCGAGCCATTGGGCAATAAAGGAACAAATGTTCCAAAGATTCCAGCTCACCCCAGCAAACCGGGCACCGTGGAAGCACCTGAACCATCTTCTCAACAAGGGCCTCCATAGTAGGCAGGATGTGATTGAAGATTTGCCAGGCAAATATTTTCAGCTTTGGGGGAATATTGGTCTCCCACAATCAGACTATCCATCTAGCTAACCATGTTACGCCACCGGCCAGAGCGTTTATCAAGCAAGGCCACAAGGTGATAGGCAGATTTTACCGTGAAACCCCATCCGGTGTGGCATGCCATATTAGTTTATCCTCCACAACCTGACAAGGGAGAGGGATAGCCCTTATGGCGCAACAGGTATCGTGATCAAACCACTGGCTTAGGCTATCGACACACCATCGCCCCCCCCCCCTAGGCAAATGACCTCCGCCACCCGAAGGTCCTGACCTTCTGGAAAACCCCGGGGGTTATAAGTAGGGGGATCTGGATGCAGTCTAGGTATCTAGTTGGACTGAAGGAGAGGACCAGTTTGACCGTTACCAATTTGCCAACGCAACCCAGCTGTAAGAAGCTGGCGCCCATAGAGGATGCTCGTCCAACCCCACGAGGGGCGAGAACAAGCCTTAGCTACAAGGAAAGTCCCCTGCGGAAAATATTTCCCCTTATACACATGTGCTAAGAGGGATTGGGGTTCCATTAGAACGCGCCATCCAATTTTAGCAAGAAGATCCTGATTGAACTGATCAAAGCGACGAAACCCCAGTCCACCCTCATGCTTGCTACGACATAAATTCCGCCATGACATCCAATGGATCTTAGGATGACCCTCAGACACACCCCACCAAAAGCGGGCCATATGCTTATCCAGTAGGCGACAGAGGGATAGGGGAAGCTTGAAGTAGGACATAACATGTAACGACAACGCCATCGCCACTGCCTTGATCAATGTTTCCATAGCCGCCCAGGAGAGCGTTCTCTGCTTCCACCCCTGCAATCGTTCCAACAATTTTCTTCCAAGTACCGGAAAGTTGCCATCTTAGATCGGGCAATTAGCATAGGCAAACCCAGGTACTAATCATGGACCACCACCGCCCCTACTCCTAGAATCTGGGCCAAGAATTCCTGGTCTGGAATCGCAATATTTGTGCTAAAGCACACAGCCGATTCAGCTAGGTTCACCCGTTGCCCACTTAATTCCTCATACTCGTTCAAGACCACAATCAGATTCTCACACTCCTAGAGAGAGCCACGCAGGAACAAATACGAATCATCCGCAAAAAAACAGATGAGAAATCCGAGTAGCACGAGGAGCAACTTTAACACCTTCTAGCCTTTTCTCCGTAATGGCCTTAAGAAGTAGCGCCGCAAAGCCCTCTGTACAAATAACAAACAAGAGA